ACCCCAGGCTAAGAACCTCATAACAATGCAGGGATAGGGACAAGCCAGACTCGAGATTCTGAAGGCACCAGAGATTTTACTGCTCAGCACAGGCAACTAAAGAACAGAGAACCTCACTCAGATAAAGTCATAACTAATTATATATTTAATTACATACCCTAACAAATTTAAGTCTCGCCAAATCAAAGAACGCATAAACACATTCATGTTAAAATTCTCCAGAGCAAAACGTCTATACAAAACACACCTTACATGTGATGAAAACATGAAGAAATTAGTTAAAACAGAAAGGCATAAAATACCAATGTAATTAAATGTTTCCAGTTGGAGAATCTGAGTGTGACAATAATTACATGCTAGACTATATCATAATTAACACAGCCTAACCAAGTATGTGTTATCCTTTTAAAAAACCAGAAGATACAGTTTATGATAGGTATATATCCTAACCAGACTCACTGAAAAGAAAGCATATCTCATTCTATGCAATAAAAAGTTATTTATAGGTTGAACTGACTTTTTACATGTTGAATCAAATACAATATTTAGAACAGTGTGGTGAATGCTTTTATGAAAATAAGAACTATTACGGGCTGATTATGCCCCTTCCCCCCAAATTCATACATCAAAGTCCTATCCCGCAGTACCTCAGAATGTGACCTTATTTAGAAACAGGGTCATGCAAATGTACTTACTTAAGATGAGGTCATACTCATCACTCTACTGTCCTGGAATCCATACAAAAAGGGGAGATTTGGACAGAGACAGACAGGGAGAACACCATGTGAACATGAAGGCAGAGATCGGGGTGAACATGAAGGCAGAGATCAGGGTGATACGTCTACAAACCAAGAGAGGCCAAACCATCATCACAAAGTCCACAAACGATAAATGTTAGAGAGGGTGTGGAGAAAAGGGAACCCTCCTACACTGCTGGTGGGAATGTAGTTTGGTGCAGCCATTATGGAAAACAGTACGGAGATTCCTCAAAAAAACTAAAAACAGACTTACCATATGATCCAGCAATCCCACTCCTGACCATATATCCACAGGGAACTCTAATTTAAAAAGATACATGCATTATTCACAGCAGCACTATATACAACAGCCGAGACATGGAAACAACCTAAATGTCCATAGACAGATGACTGGGTAAAGAAGCTGTGGTATAGATATGCAATGGAATACTACTTACTCATAAAAAACAATAAAATAAAGCCATTTGCAGCAACATGGATGGATCTGGAGATTGTCATTTTAAGTGAATTAAGCCAGAAAGAAAAAGAAAAATACCATATGCTATCACTCATATGTGGAATCTAAAAAAAAAAAATTTTTAAAAAGAGGACACTAATGAACTCATTTAAAAAACAGAAACAGACTTGCAGACATAGTAAATATCTTATGGTTACTAGGGGAAAGAGGATGGGAAGGGATAAATTTGGGAGTTCGAGACTTGCAAATGATAACCACTATATATAAAAACAGATTAAAAAAACAAATTCCTTCTGTACAGCACAGGAAACTATATTCAATACCTTGTAATAATCTTTAATAAAAAAGAATATGAAAATGAATATATGTATATATACATACATGGCTGGAACATTATGCTGCACACCAGAAATTGACACACTGTAACTGAATATACTTCAATAAAAAAAAATAATAAATTTTAAAATGTTAAAAAAAAAAAAAAGAAAGAAAGAAAGGCCAAAGATTGCCAACAAACCACTTGCCTGGTACTTTCACAGAAGCACAGCCCTACTGACACCTTGACCTCAGACTTCAAGTCTCCAGAAGTATGAGACGGTAAATTTCTGTTGTTTAAGGCACTCAGTTTGTGATACTTTGCTACAGCTTTATCAGACTAATACAAAGACATAACAAAATTTACTCTGAACAAAATTTTGTTATACAGTAAGGTGTATCCATATCAAATGCTTGATAAAGTTAAAAAAATTAAGTATAGATTTTATAAGAACAGCAGGTTAACTAGAACCAGAGAGCTATTTTTACCTAATCTGGTGCCAGCTTAAACCAACATGTGGGTGAAAAAAGGCATTACTCTTGCAAAAATAAAATTTCAATATGGATAAAATTCACTAAAGTAGAATAATGTATGTTCATTTGTCCTATTTTATAGTAAAAAAAGAATATCTTATTTTATTTTAATTGCATGGTAAAGTATATCTTCATGAGCAATTGAGTAATAAAGTACATTCAAGTAAAAAAAGAGATGATCAATATTTGCTATTTTAATATATTCTAAAGCTTATTTTCCTCTTTAATAAAATGTATTTGGTGAAAGCATCTTTTAACTTCCAAAGAGCAGAGATGTTGAAAATAACTGTCAGCAACAAGGTAGAAATAATCCCTTCTAACGAAGAACAGTTGTGTAGATTAGTTTAAATCTAATCAGAGATTTGAAATCAACAGGTAAACACTAAAAATATTCTGTCTTATTAATACAAATATCACCCCTTACAAACATAAGCAAAGCACTCAGTTTCACAAACACAAGAGAAATGTTCCTCAGGAGGGCCTTCCACTTATAAACACAGGGTATCTAATCCAGCATACCCGTTATCAAAAGGAAATAATTCTAAAGTCTAAAGTTTCTTCCATAGATAAGATCAAGTTCATGGAACTGTACGGGAAAAAATGGCTTAAAAAGTAGGACATGGCTATTTCCCCTAATATCTTTGTCACATGCAAACATTAGCACTGGCTTTACGTACCTTGAAAAACCCATCCACACGCAAAAATAACATTTGCCTTGGGTTTTCTAAGATTGTGCTACGTTAAATTTTGGAAAAGAGATTGTACATTAACTTCACCTTTAAAATGAAAGGTTTTTCAGTTAAAAAAATAGTAATAATAATAAAATAAAAAGAAAGAAAAGAAAAGAAAAAGAAAGGAAAAAAGAGAGGAAGAGAAGAGAAAGAAAAGGAAATGACAGCGATTCTAGAGTCAATGTGATAAATACCAATCTTATCTCATCACAAGTGGACCTCCTGCAAGGCTCTAAGAAGTTCTTTCATATCCCAATTCAAGTTTTTTACTCTGAACTTCAGAGCTACAAATAACTTCAGGATTTAGCCGAAATGGAGCTGCCTGATTATATAAGGTAGTAAAGCTAGAAATTCCTGTTTCTGTAATTTCCTCATGTCTCACTATTACTAATAAAAGGGACAGTATTTTATACTAATAAAAATATTTTTAATGTTAATACTACCATTTACTAAACACTTTTTATGCATGTTCTACAAAATCATTTATCCATACAACAATTCTAAGCAATGGTTATTATCCTCATTCTAGCAAAGACAGATTCAAAAGCTAAGTGACTTGCTCAACATCACAGATAGCAGAGGTAGGTCAATCCTCTGTCTTTTCCACTCCAAAGCCAAGATTCCTAATTGCCTTTTAGGGCACCAAGGATTGCAAACGAAGTCTTCAGAACCAAAGTGGAAAAAGGATGCAGTGTTGGTAAATATAGTGCTGGGAGGTGCTTCACAGAAGTGACAAGTATCTGAAATAAATAAGGTTGGTGACGGCAAAGAAATCCTGCCTGAGAATTTATGGGTAGCTCATACGCTGCTTCTGTAAACCTGAAGGAATCTGAAGTAAAAAGTTATTAGAGGGCTTCCAAATTACACCAACAATATACTTGTGTTTACAAATATTTCTGGCAGAGAGCTCAGGAAAATCCAAGGTGAAAAGCAAAAATAATTACACGAATAGGGATTTTTTTTTTTTACTGAAATAGTCTTCGTTTCCTTCCTTTCCTAAGTTCGCAAATACAACTACTCTATAAAGGCAAGTCTGTGGTGACAGAGGTGGCGGGTGAGCGCACAGGGGATGAATGTCACACAGCATCTGTCACTGTGGCTTCACCAGCAGTCTGTAAGACACAACTCTCACCTTTTCTGAAGGCGGTTTATAATAGGACTGTTATTGTAGCAGCCCAGGAAAAAGCTCACTACTTCTGAGAAATTATGATAAAGTCTGATATTAATTATGGCAATCTATTCAAAAATATATGCCTAAATTATGAGAAATATTTAAAGAAATTAACAAAGTCCCTAGCAAATGCTCTCTTAAACTAGAACTGTTGCAGAAGCGTAAAAAATTAGTAATCATACTCATTATATAAGAAATAGGTCACATAAGTATTCACTTATTCTTGCCTATATAAAATTTTTCACCCCAGTCCAATGAGATTTAAATTACTAGAATCTGAATTAAATAAGTTTTATTATAATCACAGCTTATTAACCCCATAAAGATGGGCACATTCAAGATGAAAAAGGCTCACTAAAAATAACACTTTAAAATACATGATGATTTGATAACGTTAAGGCTGCAAAACCCATGGGAAATTTGTAAAGGCATGCAGACTGCTGGCCAAGCCTTGGCCTCAAAGGAGTTTGACGACCGAGTTCTCCAAGGAAAAGTTAATGCATGAGCTTCCCAGAAGGAAGCCCCATCCTCCCATTCCTCTGGAGCCTGCGGACTACATGGAAGGAAGGATTCTGAGACCTCAGGGGAAGAGCGCAGACCGCGGGCATCGCCGCAGCCACCCCCAGTGCGGGCCACCGCTCATGCCAGCACATCCCGGGACAGCCGGGCGCACCGGCACCGCAAGGTCACCAGAGAAGAAGCGACTTTACATAATCTCCCGCCGCGCCGCCCCTCCTTGCCCCGGCCAGGCGGTGAGGGGGCGGCGCGCAGGGCGAGGAGGCCGCACGCGGGAGACCGGCGGCTGCCCTCAGCGCCGCCACGAGCTGAGGGTGGAGGACGGAAGACGGGCTCCCAGCCCCGGGATGCCCGGGCCGCCGCCGCGGCGGGCAGGGCGGGCGGTGAGGGGCTCTTCCCGGGGTAGGGAGCTCGTCGCGGGCCGGGGTCCCCACGTTCCCGGACGGCTGCCAGCCCCGAGGGCGCCCCTCAGGGCTCCTCCCGGGACTGCCCCGCGGCGCACCTGTCACGCGCCCTACCTGAGTGGCTTTGTGGAACTGCTTCTTCAGCCCAGCCACCGACATGGTGCAGGAGGACGCGCGGGCGGCTGCGGTGCGAGAAGCGGGCGGCGGCGGGGCGGAGAAGGAGGGCCAAGCGGAGAGGCGCGCTGGCCGAGCCGCCGCTCGTCGTGCCGCCGCCGGGGCTGTGGGCGCGGGGGCGCGGAGCGGCGCGGGACGCGGGCTCGTGCGGAGAGACACCCTTACGTCAGGGGCGGGTGATGCGGCCTCTTAAAGGGGACGCGGGAAGCCCCGCCCCGGGCGCGGGCTTGGTGCGGCAGGTGCTGCGGCAAGCGGTACCTGGCGTCAGCCGCCGGTGCACCTGGCTCCGCCACACCAGCGGGCTGGCTGCCTGCTCAAAGGGCCAAGGACGTTTTCCCGCCCCAGGAGTGTCACTCGTGCTCACGCGGACTGCGGCCCGCTGAGTTGGCAACCCAGGCACCGGCACGACTCAGGTGACTTGCTGGGCTTCCAGGTAGCCGCAGGGGCATTGCCTGCCGGCCTGCCTGCCCTTTGAGACTGGCCTCTCTGCAGACTGGAAAGGAGTGGTATTCTCTCTGGGGTAATGAATAAGTCTTTGCTCCTTCTCTGCCTTGCACCCGCTCACTTGGTCACAGAAAAACATTTCTCTGTCCTGGTTTCAATATCGCTTAAACCTCCATAACGTTAGGTAAAGCCAACTAAAGCTTTTTTTTTTTCCGATCTGATACAATTTAACGACTTTTTAAAAAGATGAAAATAAATTTTAAACCTTAAAGCTGGTCAGGTAAATAGAATTGAAGTAGGATATTGCTACAGTAATAGCATTTAATCCTCTGTTTACAGACATTAAAAAAACAAATATGAACCTGACTTTCAGTTATGACAGTGGATTTAGGATTTTCAATCTAAAATCAGCATTACATAAGGTGAAAAAGCATGACGCAAAGTTGTACGAGTACTACATATGTAACAAAGTATATATGACAAGGCTGAAGGGAAACTGATGTAACAAGATGGACTGGTAGCCCAGCAGGACTAGAGAGCTTCTGTATTCTGGTAGTTAGCCACTTCCTCTGGTTCTTCTAGGACTAAGGAGAGCATAGAGAAGAACTTGAGTTCTGTCCCCTTGTGGGGGACCAAAAGTTTTATAGAGGAGAAGCCAGAGTGATGGAAGCCAAGATAAGAGACATTGCCAAGAATGGATAAGGAAACATGGGAGAATGGGAGCATTAGGAATGCCTTGCGTTACCTCCATGACCCCCACTGCCAGGTGGGAACCACAGACCCCACTCCTACCCTTCTAGCCAGACTGCTTGGGCACTGGGTAAATACCTTATATTCCTGTCCATTAGCTGGTCTACCAATCATAGGCCTTCTTGATAATGTGAACTGAAACTCATAAAGGCAGAATCAAGCAAATAGTGGTGAATCACAGAGCAATAACAGCACATGGACTCCTGACCCACTCTGCAAAGGGAAGCAGACAAAAGGAGCAAATGTCCAAAGTGGAAGTCATTACCGATGTTCACATACCTTCCGGATCCACGATTGAACTGCACTTTCTAAACTCCTTGTGGTTAAGTGAGGCACTGTGACAAGTTTTAACTAGTGAGATAGGAAGGAAAGTAACTGTCACCTCTTGGCAGAGAATCTAACTGCTGGTATGAGATGCTACAAGGCCCTATTCCCTCTCCAACAGGATATTAGGTAGTTGTGGTCTGTCAACCAGAATCCAGGGTGAGCGCAGAGCAAAGTTCCCAGCTGATGTCCAAAGACATTAAGCATGAAGGAGAAATAAACCTGAATAATTTAATTCACTTGAGTCTGGGGTGCTACTGTGGCGAAACTAGTCTCTCCTGACTAATGCACAAAACAGAAAATGCTTTCCCATTTCTTAAAAGATGAAGGGAGATTTTCCATTTATACCATGGCCCACGTGTATTTTATTTTTTTGTCATTACGTGTACATGAAGTGGCCTGTTTCTTTCTTACAAAAGCTTCAGTGAACTCTGGGAGATGTGTTTTCTTTTTTTTTTTTTTTTTTCAGCCTCATGAAGCAGTGGGCAGACTCAGCCCCGAGGCCCAAGGGTCACAGGGAAGGGTGGCTCCAAGTGTTAACCATACCCTGACCTCCAACTACAGACAGTGAACAGTTAGCTCTGGAGATCCAGAAGAAATTCTAAAGGAACGTCAGGGCAAGAGACAACTGTGTTTCAGAGAAAGATCAGACAGGACAAGATGATAGATAAGTGAGGCTACTGATCCTTCAGAACCAGAACAAACCAGGAGAGTGAAGTTCCTGAGGTCCCATGGGGTGGTTTGCCTCGGGCACATTTACTCACATCTGTAAGACCCACCATGATGATTTCTGGATTCTTGGTATTAGAAAATTCTGATGGAGTTTGGACTCACTGCTTGACTAGGTGGAGCTCTAGACTAGAGATGTTGTGAGTTAGTGTTCCAGTGGCTACTTCTGTACTCTCAGTGTGGCAAAGCCTGCACACACACACACACTCTCATGAAAAGACTGCCATAAAATGCTAATAATGCTTGGGCTGCCAGAGCCCTGCTCAACCTTTAGCCTGCATCAGAATCCCCTGGAGGACTTGTTGAAGTACAAACTGTGAATCATATCCCAGTTTCTGATTCACTGGGTGGGGCCCTAGAACATGCATTTCTAACAAGTTCCAAGGTGATGCTAATGTTCTGGTCTTGGGACCGCATTTTGAAAACTCCTGGGCTGGAGGAGAGATGTTAGGAATGAACTTTTTCCTCTAGTCTCCCCATTTTTATCATATTTTCCCATTACTTGTATAATACAAGTATTTTATAGTTAATATTTCCTACCTGATCCCTGATCTAAGTGATGGAACATGTTCCTAGAAGGATAGGCCTTGGCTGAAGATGCTAAGAGACAGAACAGTTAATCTACAAAGCGGCAGGACTGGAGAGACACATGAGCTCTGGTCTCTAAAGGTGGATAGTGTGAAAGGGGGCCCTGAAAATTCTCCTCAGAACTTTGAATACTTAACAGAACCCTAAAAGTAACAAAGCAAGTCCCTCTCTTTCCCTGATTTTTCATCTACCAACTTAGAATGCTTATCCAGCTATCCGTCAAAGGAACTACTTAAGAAGAGAAAGGTCTTTACATCTTTCTGAAACTATGGTTGATTCTCCCAGAAATCCTCTGGACTGCAATGTAAACTCAGTATTTCTATTGAAGCCACAATGTATACCTATAAAGACCTTTAAGATGTTTTGAAAGAGATTTGTTGAGCTTTTTCTAGCAGGCATCATGAGGAGGCTTTGAGGGATGGGTTGTAAGGGGAAATACCAAGATGCATATAGGCTAGATTGTGAACCCCAAGGAGTTTGCAGGCTAGCAATTTAGAAAACTCTTCTTATAGACATTTCTTGTGCCTTGAATGTAGAGGGACAAATGCACCAGACACTGAAAAGATTTCAAACGTGAGTGCCCTCTCTGGTTGCAAAGAAGTTGTGACAGAGGCTCTATGACAAATGCAGAAGCACAACGACGCAGGGCAAGGGGAATCAAAGGTCAATGAGGAAGAACTTCATTTAATAACAGGTTATTGTAATTCAATGTGCTGCCCTCTCATCTCCTGAGATCAAATCAATGTAAAATGGTAAATAAACCTAGATCTGCTCAGGAAAGTTCCAATTAAATGAAACCCCACACAGACTCGACTCACTAATTGGGCAGGAAATCCATGGTCAGCAATAATTCCATCACATCATTCATGCACTAGTTCTCCTTGCATTATGCCAAAGCTTCTGGCAAATACCAGGCCTCTAGTCTGCGCAGAGCTGCTGCATCCCTGGCACCTTTCAGAGGGCCCCTCATTCCAAGGAGGCAGAGGACAAGCAGCGCCTCTTCTTCACCCTTCAGCCCGACGCCACTCCCCGGCCCACGCCAAGACAAACTGCTCCTGACTTTACGAGTAAGCTCGTGAAGCACAGAAACATTGCAAAGCAAAGGCACTAAATCCCAGCTTCTTATTTTTATTAACTACAAGCCAGGAAAAGAAGTAATTTACTCATCATTACTTTTTCTACTCCAGCCTCTAGCCTCAATTTCGGGCAGAGATTCCAGTCAGTGTTAATAAACACAGATTGGAATGAATGAATGAAAAATTGAACTGTTTATCACTGTCACTGATGCTGAATTTTTCCTACAGAGGGTCTGATATTCAACAGCCTTCACCCAACAGCCTTGTGTTAAAGCATGGTTTGGGCAGGACCCAGATGGTTGTTCTGGGGTAGATGGCACTTAAACATAAGATTGTGTGCCTCCGGATGCTACCAGTAGCATGGGACCCCCACCCAATATGGATAGAACTAATGAGCCCTCTCTTAGAGAGAAGAAATCAAGGAAAGACCACCTTGGTTTCCTTGCTCCCAGGTTTGTCGCCTACCAACCCACCCTCCAACAGATACACAGAGAGAAGCACACTTTTGTCTCTCAGAGGTGGAACATGTGTGTCTTTCTCTCCCCTCCCACATAACCCTCCACCCTCCAAAGCACAGGGACCTTTCCTTGCAAAACCTTTCTCTTCATTTAGTAAACCCTATTAACCCAAAAACAGGAGGAGGAGGGGACTTAACCAAGTGTGTGACTAACATTAGGCCCTTACATCTAGCCCAGTATTTATTACTTGCATCCCAGTTTGAGATGCTTCCAGCTTCCCAGCAAAATCCTGCCATCTCCAATGCCCATCTCCAGTGCCTTTCCTTTCTCTCCTATCCTTCTAACCCCATATCCTCTCTTCATTTGTCAAATCTGAAAGCCCTGATTGGGCACCTCTGCTGTGAACTTGGTCTAACATGTGTTTTACTTATTGATATGTAGTATTAGGTTCTTAACTCTTTAACTCTCTTAAGTGTAGCCTCTTATCTTTACTTTTACAACTCTTAGCAGATAATATAAACATGGACTAGATATGGTCTAACTGAAAGTTTAAAAGCCTAATGAAATTTTTAAGGTGAGGTCCAAAAAATACTGGAACTAACTGGCTTCTCTCCACCTGAGCTGACAGTTCGATGGTCTTAGTTGCTGCTCCCTTGCTGTATTCAAGCCTGAATCTCCGGTTTCCTATAATTTTGAGAGTTCCCACTGATCCTCTCATAAATTCCCCTTTAGTCAGTCAACCAATATTGCTTTCTGTTATTTGCAATCAGCCAACTCTAAGTCATATATCCCCTCCCCACTCTGACCCCTGCAATAATGTTCTAATACAGTTCCAGTTCTTGTTTGGATCTAGCAAGTCAAATACAGCAATTTGGACAACTGCAGTCCCTGCCAAGCACTCCATTAGCTTCCTTCTCAGAGTAGGGTGGACAGATTGAGTGACAAGGAACATTATTCTTCAGCAAGTGTCAGTTCTGCCTATAAGACACGGACATTCTAATTTACAAATCAGATCTTTTGTTTATTTGACTAGTATGTGTCA